TAAATTACCTGTGAATGTAAATGGTTGTTTGTTTCTATGTGATAGACTGGTGAGCTGTCCAGGGTGTACCCTGCACCGTAATCTATCACTTCAGGGTTATTTCCCAGCCCTCCTGCAACCAGATAAAGATAGAAGGATGGTAGTTGTTGAAGACCCATTCAATTTTTATGGTAACCAGACTCTAGACTTTGTTGAACATTATGTAATATGAAGACAGCATGTAGTATTTAAGTGACCAAGTAGTACTGGGGTAAAAGTTATTGAATAGTGTTAAAATAAAATGACAAAATTGTGAAGGATTAAATTATTCCAAGAGCTCAACTTACTTCATCTGAACATGTTCCAATCGTGTTTTATGAACACAAAATGCACAGGTTTACTGAATATGAAAAAGTTGTGTTGATTTAACCCAGTTGTTTAAGTTTCTGCCAAAGCAAAACATTTATGTGCAACCAATGTCCACTATTGAATCAAATAAATCCAACATGGCCTTTTTTTCAGTGCAGATTTGAAGGATTGGTCGGATGTATCCTGTCAATTGGTCAACTTAAAAATGTTTTTGTTTGGCTTTTTTCAGGGTTTTATTTGTTCGTGAGTAAATCAGTTTGGCTGACATTAAAGTGATAGTTTTCACACAGTTGAATCAACGTCAAACAGAAAACTGATTAAACAGAAATGTGAGATGGTTTGAGAATTTAGGCCAATGTCCTGTTATGTTTTACATAGCAAGAAACAAACGGTTGAGTTTATTAAACTCCACCGAGACAGCTGGTAATGCAAAACTGAAGGCTAGACCATCCAGTTTCACAACAGCTCACTTCCGGCCCACGCAGGCCGCGAAGGCCGGGTCCTCAGGAGGATGCAGCCTATGAATTTGGACATGACCGGTTACTCATATTTTGTATCTTAAATACGTAACGTATGTGTATTCCGTTACTCCCCAACACTGTCTGCCTGCATGGTTTTGGCTCCCACATACAACGAGCCATTAATAATTGAGATTATCTCATGGGCCAGATATAATTGTATAAAACACCCCTGGTTTTGACCCTGTTTCTACCCAATAAGCCATTACACAGACCAACTGTATGCTTCACATATGTCTCAGTTTATCTATGTGCAATTACCTAGAGGGTCAGAGAGTATCTCCTCTTCCTTGAAACTTGTTTCACTCTGTCTTCATCGCTGCGCTCTGGACACTTGTTGCTCACCCCATCGTGTGAATGCTCTCAGTTAGGTGCTTTTGACTAGAATTCATAGGATAGACACACAGGATTAATACATTATTGACTGTATAAATAGTAGAGACCATAATAGATATGTTCTCAAAATCTTTAATAAATTGCCTCCCTCACTGCTAAAAGCTCTAACTTTCAGGAATGGAGAATTATATTTTGGTGCAGTTCTGGACCCATGAACAGTGATGGATAGCTTTCCTCACTGTCTCTTGGGCAGTGCTGCACTGATCCCTTCCTCAGAGCTATCACAATGCAAACACAACGAGTTATTCAAAGTCATGAGTTTTTTTGATGTGTTTTAGAGTCAGGTCACATTTTATCTTGAATGACTGAATTGGTCACAAGCTCCATGACTTCAAATGCACAGTTTGCTTCACTCAGAGTCCTACTGGCTTGTTTTCCTACTCTGACCACAGATCTTGAAATCTTACCGTCACTTCTTGAATCCTGTTTGCTGCTGTAGGAAACACATTTTGCGGAGCTGTCAGCTGACTTGACGATGTTCTGTCCAC